TATTTTTTTTCTCAATATTTTCGCTCTGTTTACTGCTTTAAATGTATGTAAACGGGTGCGAGTGTCATGCATTACGGTTAAGTCTAAAAAATGAGTCACCCTTCATGGTGCAGCACATAAGAGCTTTTATAATATAAATAGATATATAAATTGTTTCTGTCTGTCGAATTGTCCTGGCTAGTATGTTAGTTCTGTTCTCTAGGAGGAATTCACAAAACTTTAGCTTCTCAAGTTTCTTGAGTATTTGTTTAATTGCCTAGATTTTCTCTTTTCCAAGTAATACGATTAGTTATTTATATAAAGGAGTAGCAATATGATGAAGTATTTGTAATTCGATAAGATGCATAAGTTGCTAGCTTAGCTATAGTGAAATGAAAAATTCTCTTCTGATCATCTATTATTTTTTCAGTGCACTGCTCAATTATTTAAATAAAAAAAATTCCTAAGATGTGACTTTCAAGGACTTAATCTTGATTTGATATATGGATGGGGTTGTTCATAGGCTGTGCCGGGTTTGACCCTATAAAAAGAAAAAGGCTTCAAGTTCAACAACGACGATGACAAACCTTATCCCATTAGGTGTGGTTGGCTACATGAATTGTATAATGCCTTTGTGTTTTAAAATCATCACCAAACTTTTATGAATATCATTAACTAAGAGGTTTCGATCAATAACTTATATCAAGTGTTCTCTTTGATCTTCATTTACCCTTTTTTATTGGATTCAAGATTATTCATCCACTCTTCTCACTGGTGCCTCCCATGTTCTTTTGCGAGCATGTTCAACAACCATCTTAAAACGATTTTTTATCATTTTCCCTTCAATAGATGCCATTCCAATGTATAATAAAATAAATAACAATAAAGATTGTGTCTCTACAGAAAGTTACATCATTCACTTTGCTTAACCTGAAATTCAATATACTGAATTTATGGAAATCTCTTGGGAATTTTATGCATAGCATGAAAAGGAAACCTTTAGCATGCTCAGCATGGAAGAAGCCAATAAGGTTCAGGAACTGAGGTATATAAATTTTTGTAAATGTACAATATTATAATTGTGAAGCTTTTATTTTGTGCCTTCCATATGATAGATTCATAATATCATATATTACTGAGGGGATGCTATACCTTATAATAATTGAAAGGCAGTTGAAGGGAAAGAGCTTGAAGGATTGAACACGAATGAATTACAGAAGCTTGAAGAACAATTAGAAAAAGGTTTGAGCCGTGTTGTCAAAGCTAAGGTTTGCACTTAGCCCCTTACTACACTACAAATTCGGATCTGATCTCACAGGGATGCATCTAATCCGATCATTGATAGATTAGATTTGAATATTGTCAGTCCAATTGGAATGTATCCTTCACATTTATAATTATAATGAAGGGATCCGCAGGCATGTACTACATTCCTGTTTGCATATATCCTAAGGAAAGAGCACCAAAGAAACTTTGAAGTGATATGGCAAATAGATTTTTATACTTTCATAAATCAAAATATTTTATAGTCCTTAAACAAGTTCTTCAACGACATTGGATCTCAAGAGCTCAAAAGCTCATCATGTCAATTATGAAAGAGTTTGAAATTAAATAACATATGAAGTAATAGCATTAAGTAATAACTTTGAAGCTTTTTTCATTTTTTTTACTAGCGCATTATAAGTGATTGAACCCCCTCATTTTGTTTTTGACCCCTTCCATTTGGAATATTGAAATTTCTTGTCTGGATTAATGCTTGCATTTCAAAGTTTTTTGCATTTAAAATTACTTCATAGAAATTAATGTTACTAATCTTCACAACATACGGTGCTTGGTGGTTTTACAGGAAGAAATAATTATGAAAGAGATCAATGCGCTCAAGAGAAAGGTGAAATACATTCCAAACCTAATTATTGAAGGCTGATGTATATTTTTGTTATTGCTTGATGTTTGAAAAAATCATGTACAGGAGAAATAATTATATTTAGTTGATGTCATGCCAAAAAAGCGACAAATAACTATCCATGACTGGAATGTCTTCATATATATGATGGCCTGCCTCTGCGCAGGAAAGATTAAACCTAACTGAGTAAAAGTGCTAAATTATTGGAAATAAATCTTGAAGGTTAATAATATGGGACAAGATTAAGATAGAGAATTTGATATTCATGTAATTGATGAAAAATCTAACAGTTTTATGCCTTTAAAAGATATGTCTCAATTACTTGGTTAATTAATCCTAAAAAATAATATTTTATTGATAAAGAATAAACATCATATTGCTTGTTCTAAAAACTTTTATGGATTGATATTTCTAATATTCGAGAAACTAAACAACTTAAATATGAAAATTAATCATTTACCTTGTAATTTTGAATCATTACAACTCAATTTTTGAAATTTAATTCAATGCAACTCATTTCCTCAAGCTTTAACCATTTAATTTGTTGATCCCTATACTTAATGCTTCAATTACAAGTTAATCCATGAAGAGCTTGATATTTTTTGAAAGTATAGGGACCAATTTATTAAATGGCTGACACATTGAGGCTAAATTGAACTTTGTTAAACTTTAATGATTGAGTTGTAACTAAATCAATTAAACTGTAGGAATCAAATGATTAATTTCCTTGTGTACATGCATCTCATTTATTCGCTCCTTAAATATTAATGAAGAGAGTGAGGAAGATAGAGCCATAGAGGGAGAAAGAGAGAAATGATGTTACAGTAAATTGTAGTCAGTGAAGAAAAGTCTGCCAGGCCATCTCATTCACAGAGATGTATAGGACAATTAGAACTTAGCTTCTCTGAGAATGCTTCCTTGTCCGTGCAGGGAATCCAGCTGATGGAGGAGAATCAGAGATTGAAACAGGTGATCCGTGTTTTGAATTATTTGCATGGTAAATCAGTGTTAAAACGATTAAGTCCCTAATCCAAGTTTCATCGATTAGACCATAATTGATTCCGAGTCAACCATTCATCATTAAATTAACATGCTTTAAGTTCTATGAACTCCTTTCTGGTCCTAGTTATTGTGTAATATTAATCCACTTTAATTTATGGTTCTTAACGAATGATAGTTAATATGCTTTAAGTGCAATTACATCTTTGCCTTATATTAGTTAGATGCTTCACTGTTCAAAGCTCCTTAATTATGAACAATGCAACCTCCATTACATTTTATATACATGTTAATTCATAATATAAGCATGTTAAAGGAAAAAATCAGTTTTCACCAATTTTTGACCTGTTTGATTGGCTTTGTCCGGTTTTGAAAGAATTTTCGGATTGGACCAAGGTAGGGGTTCAACAGTTGAACCATCAGGTCCAATTAATTAACATTGATTGTTTCAGATTGGTGGCAAGAATCTGAAGATGGAAAATTTGTGTTTAGGTGATGAAAGTTGGACAAAAACAAGGTCAGTCATCTGAGTCAGCAACTATCGGCAGCACATCTGATTCTCTTCATGAGGATGATAGTTCAGACACCTCTCTCACATTGGGGTTAGTATGTAACAAACTTAACTGTTCATTTGAGTTTTCTCATGAACAAGCATGTCAAGAAAATGCAAGAATTTATTCAATTCTCTTGAGATAGCTGATTATTGACAGACCTGAGATTACGTGATTACTTGTTTTATTAAAAACACATCCTGAGGGTCAACAATTAACAGGGAGAATAATTAAGAATTCATATTCATACAAGCTATATATATATATATACTCCCTGTTTTCAAATATAAGAGAAAAATAACTAACTTACACAGTTTTAAAAAGTTGGTTAAGTATAATAAGTATGTCTGAAATTTAAAAAATTAAACTAAATTAGTCTTATTGTTAATAAAACACAAATTTGTCTCGTCAAAATAAATATTGACTTTATAAGGAGTAATATGGTAAAAGGAAGATAAATATTTCTTGAAATTTATAGTTTTGCTTATTAAAAAAAAAAAACGGAGACATGTGATAGTTGTATAATTAAAAACGGAGGGAGTATCCACGATTGACAGTAAACAGTTTGAACTAAAAAGTAATTTTTTTTTTTGGCTTGTATTATATAAGCACCACAGTCCACAGTTTTCTCTCCTTAGCGTATTTATTTTTGACATGTGGAATGTGGATCTTTCAAAAAAGAAGTCTTTTGTATGTCGGAGCGCATTAAATCTATGTATGTCTGATCATAATCTAGTGTTTGTTTCTTTGGGTCCCCCCCCCCCCTCCAAAAGATATAAACATCCTCAAGTAAAAGAGGTACATGTAGAGAGAGAATTTGGTGGATCTCACTCTCGAACACGGAACGTTTCCATTTCGTAAGCATCCTTGTCTCTCCACTTTCCTAATCAATCATAATGATTGATATCACTGCATTAGGTGAATATATTTTAGCCATAAATTTGATGAATGATTATGATTACGAAAGTGAAGAGAGAAAGATGATAAAAAATGGTTTACTAAAATAATCTCTTTCTCCACTACATTAGATCCACTTGAAAATAAACTCCCTATTATTAATCTATTGTGCATCAAACTAATGTGAGACTTGCCCATGAATGCAAGAAGTAGTAGTGATCAGGCAACTGTGCACACATACCATAATTAGGTATATCTATGGTTTCTTGATTGTTGATGGAGCACAATGATATCATTCATTTTATATAGATTTATGCTTATGATTTCTTAGTTATTGATAGAATACAATAATATTGTGCAATTATGTTTATAAATGGCTTCTTGGTTGTTGATATAATACAATAATATTGTGTAATTTATGTATTGACCTTAGGTCGTGAGACAAAGCATGCTTATGTTTGGCATCTTGTCAAAAGTTAACCAGAGTGTTTTTTATCTGCTGCAGATTGTCTTTGCTCAGATAATACATTAAAAAAAAAAAAAGATGTGAGGCAACATGGAAAATACATCAAAAATTTAATTAACCATTGTCGTGTACGGGACAATTCCCCCATTATTATTTCATAGCAAGTTTGCTTAATTTTTATGTAAGTAGGTTTTTTTTTTTTTACATATATGCGAGCAAATGATATGTATATATATAATATATACACATACGAGAATGGTGTTGTATTTTGAATTCGATTTTGTTTCCCTCTCTTGCTTCTTGCGAATATTTTTGTTTTTGTTTTTTGGTTTTTCGTTTTTGTTCCAAATGAAACTGAAACTTACATATTCAACCCAAAAAAAAAAAGGTGGATAATTGAAGATACAAAATCATTTTAAAATCTCTCAAATGTATGTTAGCACAGACACGTGTCCGACACAGCACAATTTGATACGTAAAATATGACAAATTTTAAAATCTTGTGCCATGCAAAACAAAAAATTGTCAATCTATAATACGAAGTAAAAGTAGGTATTAATTATTCTCAAAATTATCTAAATAATTTAAAACTGGAATCTCTATTCTCTCCTTAATTGTCCAAGACAAACATATTGGGCCTACAATGATGCCATAACAATGCAAGGTACTCCTTTCAATTTTTTTTATAGGTATGTTTTTAAAAAATTTATTTAGTTTCATTTATAAGTTATGGTGTTATTTTTTAAGTAATATTTAAAATATATTTTTAAAATTATTTTTTATGAGAAAAAAAAGTAACATGATATTAGTTTTTAAATTTATTATATGGGGGTATATTTATAATCATACACACTTTTATTCCTTATTTCTTACTGTACTATGAGCACTAAAAGAAAAAGCTATATTCTCTTCGTTTAAAAATATAAGATATTTTAATTGAATTTTATTTTTCAATAAAATAACTATTTATCTTCAAAATAACTCTATTTTTTTCATATTTAATAGGATGTTTGACCTTGAAATAAATATAAAGTTATTTATTCAATAAGAGCACTTAAAAAAAAAGACAATTATTATATGTAAAAAAATTAAAATGCCTCACATTTTTAACATCCAACCTCCTAAAAAGTATTTTACATTTTTTTTAATGGAGAAAGTATATCATTTCAATATTGTAATAACCCTCATCATCTTTCTTTTCTAGTACTAGCTAGTTGTGTTTAGTAATGACTAGGGAGTAATTTGAATGAGAAATTGGGCTAAAACAACCTTAGTTATATACTCGCTTCAATTTTTATTATAAAACATTTTTAATTGTTTCATGCATCTTTAAAAAAATTAATTCTTACATCATCAAAAAAATAATATGAACTTTCATTTTATTTTTAATTTTAAATTATAATACAACTATATTAAATATTTTCATGTTAATAAAAAATAAAAAATAATTTAATATAATTACAAAATATCTTATATTTTAAATAAAATATACTTTTAAAATGTGTCTTTTATAAACCACATGTGTCTCTATTTGATCACGAATAAAACTAATATTAACTTCATAGGGTTGCAGACAAAAGCTGCACTTGACCAATGACCATTCAATACACGCAGTTGATGGCCAACCACTGTTTTGAAAACGACCGACCGGCCGGTCGGACTCGGACCGTCGACCGGTCTGGTTCCGGTCTGGTTCAAAGAAAAAACCGTTTTCAGAGTTGAGCCGGGTTGAGCCGTTTTGAACCGCGGTAGACCGGGAACCGGCGTCGGCCGGGAACGATCCGGTTTTCAAAAACCGGACTGTTCAAAAAAAAAATTTTTTTTTATTTTTTATCAATTTTTTTAAAAAAAAGACTAATTTTTTAATCATTGATATTATAGTGTATCAATAGCTTGTTAAGTAGTGATAAACTTAAAATATTTAAGTTTTTTTAAGTTAAGTAGCAATTTCAGATGTATTTCTTATATTTAAATTTTAATACATATAAATTTTTTTTAATTTAATTATACGTCACCTTTGGACCATTGGTCCAACCGTTAAAACAATGCGACCGTGAACCGCTGACTTTTCCGGTTCAATGTCCGGTCCGGTTCTGAAAACACTGGTGCCAACAGATGAATTATTAAAGAAAACATGCACTGCCTGAGTGTCGCATTAGACCAATAAATGCAAGGGTTTGTTTGCAAAACTGTTTTTTGTTTTTTAAAAGAAAAAGATAAAAATTGTTTGCATAAATGTTTTGAATTTAATTATTTTTAAAATTATTCTTGTTCTTTTGTTTTTAAAACCAAAAAAAGGATCATCTTTATTCTTCATTTGATTATTAAAAAAGATTAATTTATCGATAGTAATCAAAACCAAAAGTTTTATTTTTCTTATTTTTAAAACACATTTCATTTGATTATTAAAAAATAGTTAGCTTAATCAATATTTATCATAAACTATTATTATTAACTGCTCGCAACTATCATTGTCAGCCTATTTTTTCAATTCTAATTTTTTAAATTAACATAATCAAACATAATTTTTTTTCAAACAAAATTTTAAAAATTGTATTAAAAAAATTTAAAAAATAAAAATAAAAAAAAGCCCTAAGGTCATATTCATTAATTGTTTTTAGAACATTTTTTTCATTTTGAAAAACAAAAGATATGTTTGAAGATGTATTTTCTACTATCTATTTTGGAAATAAAAATTTAAAAGTGTTTATGAAAAGTTAAGAAGAGATAGAACATCTTTTTTATGTGTATTTTTAAAATAAAAAAGATATAAATATCATGTTTTTATCAATGCTAATTATCTTAATAAATTAAATAATTATTTTTACCTTTATTTCACCACTTTAGATATGTCTTTCAAAATAATAATTTAAACATATTTGTTAATTTTTTGTATTTCCAAATTTTATTCTGAAAAATTATTATATAATTTTTTAAATATAAAAAAAACAGAATCTAAAAAGCCCCCTCACTCTTTTGCTTTAAAAATATTTTGTAAATAAAAATACATCTTAAATCTTTATTGGTTAAAAAACGGGGAATGGCATTTAAGGGCCCTAAAAAGCAATAATTTTTCAGATAAGGCCTAATGGATTCTGAAACTATTCTGAGGGACTAAAGGCCTCATTTGCAATTATATTTTTTAGTGAAATGATTAATTTGTTCCTCCCATAACTAGCTGCCAAATGAAAATTGTTGCTTCTTCCTCCGTCCTTCCTCCCTCGTCCTTTTCTCTTCCTCTTTCAACAACACTGATACAATAATCAAATTCATTTTCTTCCCCATCATGCTTCTCTATTCCCTCTCTTCTTCTTCTTCCTTCTTCCTTCTTTCTCTCATTTGAAGCTTTTTCGTTCAACAAGTATGAGTGGCGATTCATTTTTATTTAGATGGGTATGGAGAAGACGAGCAGGCATTCATTCGATTACATTCCTCTCATGTCAGCTAGCTTCTTGAAACGATTTGCCATAGAAGATGTATTTTCTACTACTATCTATTTTGGAAAATAAAAATTTAAAAGTTTTTATGAAAAATTAAAAAGAGATAGAACATTTTTGATGTGTTTTTTTTCTTTAAAATTAAAAAAGATATAAATATAATGTTTTTATCAATGCTAATTATGTTAATAAATTAAATAATTATTTTTACCTTTATTTCACCACTTTAGATATGTCTTTCAAAATAATAATTTAAACATATTTGTTAATTTTTTGTATGTCCAAATTTTATTCTAAAAAATTATTATATAATTTTTTTTAAAATATAAAAAAAACAGAATCTAAAAAGCCCCCTCACTCTTTTACTTTAAAATACTTTGTAAATAAAAATACATCTTAAATC